AACAACAAATTCACATTTTATTTGTTATTATACGAAACAAATTACATATATCTTTTTAGATTAATTAGATATACATTGGCAGATATACATTATGATTATTACATATTTTTATATTGCGTTTATTTACTTTTTACTGTGTTAGTAGATGTATTTATATCATCATACGTATAAGTTATATGCATCTGTATTATAATCACCACGACAGTCGCCACTGATGTGTAGAACTAAAAAAAAATGTTATTTTACAAAATGAAAATATAGGGTGCTTATGTACATAGTATGAAGAAGAATTTCAATACAGTAAATACAATAAATAATGATAAAAGTAAGCAATTAAATAATAAACAATGTCATCATTATAAAATTAACAGAAATCTAAAAAAGATTCTGAGAAAAATCTGACAGAAATATAAAGTAATACTTTGTGATTCTATTTTATAATAATTTATATTTTTGCAAAATGTGAAACACATACCCGGCGAATAAAATTGTTACCAAAGTAAAAAAGCCTCATACCATAAAACTGGACTTCTCTCTGTTTTATTTGTAATACAAATTGTAGAGCCTGAATTCAAATAAAAGAAACGGATAAATGCAAAATTTAAACACACTATGCGCATGAGGTAATTGAAGAATAATTATATAACGTTATTATAATTTACTTGTTCGCGCAAGTCTTTGTCGAGACTGCTATTAGATAATTTGTAAAGAATTACAATTGCTTCAGTCGCCTGAAATAATGTTCATATGAAATTAAAACGCCGTTCATGTCAAAAGTTTTATACAAAAAACATATAATCAAATAACTTGGAAAAAATTATTCAACATTAGCTTTATTTACTACCTATATTTATCGTTAAAAAATTGGAAATGTTTTATTAACGTTACTATTAATTTTATATTATTATATTTTTGCTATTTAAGTTTGTTACCTGTTCACTGACAATCTGACAGATATAATTTAATGTGAGAAATTTTATGTTATGCACGATAGTCCAAAAATAATTGAATGAGCGATCTAAGACTTGTCCAAATGTAGTTGCATTTGTTAGTAGTGATGTGTAAATTATGCAACAATTATTTATGACAAATATAAAAATAGACATCATTTGTAATGTCATCTGTACACTGAATATTTTGTTCAGGTCACGTGATATAAGACATAGCTGCAGATGAACATGCCTGTAATCAAATTATAATTTCCATAATTAAATTAGACTACAAGTACGTATATAAAAAACAAGAATATTTTCATCGACAAAATTATGTACAATTCAAGCTTTACCAAAAATTTTAGATTTACTCGTTTGGTAATTCAATTTTTTGAGTACATTGTAAATATATTATAATCTTTAAAACAATATATGTATGATTACGTTTTTTAAACACCTAATTAATATATAGTAACTTTAATTATTAATTAAACATGTGTCATTTTAAAAATTACATTATAATCCACATAAATTTTCTGCGTTCTTTTATTTTATGAAAGTTTATTCTTTGTTGATATTCTTCTCCTAAAATTTAGACTTTCATGTCTGGTATACTTTATGTCGTCTTTTATCAGATTTTCAAGGTGCTCATTGATTTGCTGGAATCTGGAGGCTATATATCTAAATTAAATAAAGAATTACAGTAATTATTGTAAAATAAGTTTATATTTAATAATAAGTTTATATCATTCAAGACATTGCTATTAATATTGTTTTCTTCTCATTCTTTTAATTTTGTTTCTTGTTTATGAATATAATTTTATTATTTTGCTACAAAAATTCATAACACTTGTCAAAATAACAATATTAATAAAATTTTATTTCAAATCTCATTAAAAAATTTCAAAATATTTAAGAAAAACAGAAAAAATTATATGTTTTACTCATTTTTTAAAAATATTCTTATTAGATATTTGTCTACTTTGCAATAGACTTTACAAAGTATACATATACCGACCTCAGAATAATTCCCCACATTATACTATTGAGGCAGCTGACATGATATATATAATTTGCCACAAAAGGAACAAATATGCGAGTAATGCTAAAATAGTCGTAATTCAACCAAAAACTATCCACTATATCCATGAGACAAACCAATGTAGTCCATATGATTATTGCTCGAATTGTCAATTTATGCAACCATTGGTAATCCTTTGATGTTCCGAACACATTTAATGTATCATTCACAATGGAAAGTTTATGTAAACATATTTTTAATTCCTTAAAGATAACATTGCTCAATTAAAGACGTGCTGAATAACATTGTTATCAATTTTAAATATAGAATTTGCTAATTTAAAATATAAAAATATTCGATACCGATAGATCATGATCAAAAAGTCTCTTAAAAATTCATGTTCATCTATAATTATGACAAAATAATTAATAAAAAAAGAACAAAAAAATTAAGATACTGCAAATTCGAAATATATATTTCAGAAATTCTACCTTGCAGCATATTAAGTTGACAAATGTTGACACAAGTGTGATGAATATTTCTATTTTACACAGCAAGGTAAAATATACGAACGCCGTATGACTAGTATAAATTAAGTAGTAGAAAAGATACGAGTAAAGACCCCATTTGATTAAAAAGTATAAGCAAGTAAAATATAACCTGGATCGTTCAAAGGGATATTCTAAATAACCTAAACCGCAGAGCAACCAAATTATGAATAATGGTGCTAGCGCTGTAGAAATATTTTTTATCATGATTCTTGAGTGTAAATTTGTATTACGTATTTTAGCTACGAGAAACACGAACACTCTTGAATACTTTTCATAAAAATCTCAAAAACACGTTCGCTTTCTTTTCGTTGATCTATCAAGAAACTTTGCGAGACTATTGTAATTTAGTGTCGGATATATTACACGACCGGCGTTTCTCGAACAAGTTAATACACAAATGGATAATTTAGATCAGATAACTTTTACCTTACGGAATAATTATCTATACATATTTATGCAATTTTTACAAGGTTTACATGCGTATAAACGATTATTCTTGCGATATTACATTTTTAATTAGGCTTAAATGTGTTTAACATGTTAAATGAATATCTAGAGTAATGTAGAGGTATAAAATTACTCTATTAACTTAAAAAATATTTGAAAACTATTACATTCTTTCTTGTATTGTAAAAAGTACTTACTTAATATTCAATTATTATAATTATATTATATAAATTTTTAATATAATTTTTTTCAGAAAAATCATTATCGGCAAAAAATAAAATAAATATTATAATAGAGTATAATAGTATAATAGAGTCATCGCATATTTCTCTTTGTTTTATTAGCACTGTGTCATTTTGAATTATATTTAATCGGCTTTAATATTTAACTACAAAGAATGATTTTATAGTGTTGCAGTGTTATACTCACAATAAGTGAGATGTTACTGCTATTACTGCTACTATTATTAGATAAAATCATATATACATATGTGGTATGACTGATGTAGATAAATTAATAGAAAAAATATGTGTAAATGTTTCATATGATCAAGCGTACAAACTGAGTTGTCCAAAAATATATTCTAAAACACAAGCTGCAGAATGAGCTGATGACCAATAATAGTGACAGCGCTCTTTAAAGCGTTTTTGTCGTGATCTCTGAGTCATCGATCACAAATTGCATTTCGCTACAGAAAACTAGAACACTCTTAGATACTTTGTATAAAAACCTAGAGAACATAGTTCTACTTTCTTTTTGTGGATTTGTGTTGCAAGATATAATTGTAATATAATATTGGAAAAAGTTTAGGTTTTTTTGTTGTTTCTAAACACTTTTACATGAGTGATAAAATATATTTGTAAATAAATAATAAAAAAATATTGATTTTTTTATTCACCCGACTACTTATCTCGCAACAGATCCGCCTGAAAGCTTTGCAAGAATTATACTGCGAGTTAGAATTGCCATCCTTGACCATTTAATATCGAGCGACAAAATAGATAATCTAAATGAGATAACTTTGCTGTCACGGAATTATTATCTGAGATCTTTTAAATATTAAGCAAAAGATATCAATATTGCTGAATATTCTTTTATGTAGTTGAGAACAATAAAAATATAACATTATAACATTGCAAAAAATATAACATTGCAAAATAATGTATATCATGTATTATTAAAACAAGTAAAAAGACAGAGATATTTATGTTTATTGTCATATTTTTACTTACAAGTAAAAGTTTTATCTTATTATTAACAATATTTTACAATTTAATAATAAAGTATAATAAAATGTACCTCGATATTAAGATCTTATGAGATAAAAATCATATAATTTTAATAATAAATTGTTTTTATCCACTTACGGAAATTATGCACTTATGCAAATTAAAAGAATCATTCTGTTGAAAAAAGTTATTCACTAATAAATAAAAAATTCAACGTAATTAGAACTGCAAGAAAGTGAACAGAAGAAAATAAAAATGAGATAATGACGAATTTGCGCACCTTAGATCTTGTGAAAAAATTACAATTTCCATCAACAATAACATTAACTTAAAAAATATAGATTTAACTTTAAAGTCGTGTAATTTTACTAAAAAAATCATAGCAAAATTTAAAAAAACGCGTTTTGTAGATAAATTGTTGTAGGTTTTGACATTTGTCATAAATTTTTGTATCGAGCTGTAGAAAGTAAAACGCATAAAATCTTAAAAATAAAATATGCTTTTTTTGAGCTTAAAAGTGTAAAGATAAAAAATGTTTCAAAAAACGATCTAAAGTGTGTAAAAGTACAAATTTCAAACTTTAAAATGCTTTTTTAATTTTTAGTCTGCAATGATTTTTGCCAAATTTTAGCGATTTAAAAATTACTCAATTTTGTGAGCCTGAAATGTGTTCTCCATTTTTTGTGTAGTTATGTATTAAAAATAGGCAATTTTAAGTAATTTGAAAGTTAACAAATAAACAAATTCACATTTTATTTATCATACAAAACAAATCACATACCTTTTTAGATTAATTATAGTAGATATACATTAGGACTTCTACGTACTTTATTATTACGTTTATTTACTGTTAGTAGATGAATTAGTAGGGATTACATCATCATACGTAAAAGTTATATGCATCTGTATTATAATCACAAAGACAGTCAAGACTGATTTGTAGAACTGAAAAAAATTGTTATTTTACAAAATGAAAATATAAACTGCTTATATACATAGTATAAAAAAGAATTTCAATGCAGTAATAAAACGACTATAAAAAAACGCAATTAAGTAACAAACAATATCATCATTTCAAAATTTACAGAAATCTGAAAGAAATCGAAAATAATACTTTATGATTATACTTTATAGTAATTTATATTTTTACAAAATGTAGAACATACCCGACGAATAAAATTGTTACCAAAGTAAAAAAGCCCCATACCAGAAAACTGAACTTTTCTCTGTTTTATTTGTAATATAAATTGTAGAGCCTGAATTCGAATAAAAAAGCGAATAAATACAAAATTTAAACACACTAAGCACATAAATTAATTGAAAAATATTTATATAACAGTATCATAATTTACTTGCTCGCGTAAGTCTTTGTCGAAACTGTCGTTAGATAATTTGTAAAGAATTATGATTGCTTCATTCTCCTGAAATTATGTTCATATAAAATTCAAACTCACCATTTATATCAAAAGTTTTATACGAAAAACATAAGATCAAATAATTTGGAAAAATATATTCAACATTAGCCTTATTCGCTGCCTATATTCTTTATTGTTGAAAAGCTCAAAATATTGTTAAAGTTTTTATTAATTTTATATTATTATATATTTACTATTGAACTTTGTTACCTTCTCATAGACAATCTGACAAACATAATTTATTATGAGAAATTTTATGTTACATAGGATAGTCCAGAAATAATTTATCAAGCTATCTAAGACTTGTATAATTGTAACTCTATTTCTTAGTAGCGATGTATAAAATATGCAACAATTTCCTATGACAAATAGAAAAATAGACATCATTTGTAGCGTCATCTGTACACTGAATATTTTGTTCAGGTCGTGTGATATGAGACATAGCTGCAGATGAACATGCCTGTAATCAAATTATAATTTCTATAATCAAATTAAATTATTAATACGTACACATAAAAGGCAAGAATATTTTAATCGATAAAAATATTATATCAATAAAAACATGTTCAATTCAAGCTTAAAAAAAAAATGTTTAATTTACTTGTTTTGTAATTAAATTTTTAAAGTATATTGTAAATATATTATAATCTTCAAGTAAACATATATGAACACGTTTTTTAAAAACATAATTAATATATAGTAATCTTAATTATTAATTAAATATAAGTAGTAATTTTAAAAATTACATTATAATCCACATAAACTTCCTGCGTTCCTTGATTTTATTAAATTTTATTGTTCGTTGATATTTTTCTCCTAAAATTAAATTTTCTCGTCTTGTATACTTTATATCGCCTTTTAGCAGATTTTCAAGTTGCTCATTAATTCGCTGAAATTTGAAGCCTATATACCTGAATTTAGTAAAAAATTACAGTTATAAGAAAATTTTACATTTGACGGTAAATTTACATCATTCAAGACATTATTAATATTGTTTTCTTCTCATTATTTTAATTTCAATTATTGTTCATAAGTATAATTTTATTATTTTACTACAAAAATTCATAACACTTGTCAAAATAACAATATTGATAAAATTTTATTCCAAATCTCATTAAAAAATCTCAAAATATTTAAGAAAAAAAGACAAAAATTCTATGTTTTATTCATTTTAAAAAAATATTCTTATTAGATATTTGTCTATTTTGCTGTAGCTTTACAAAATGTACATTTACCGACCTCAAAATAATTCCCCACATTATACTACCAAGCACATTGATATGAAGTATATAATTTCCCAGAAATGGAGCAAATATGCGAACAATGCTGAAATAGTTGTAATTCAACCAAAGACAGTCCAATATATCCAAGAGACAAACCAGTGCAATCCATATAATTATTACTCGAACTGTCAATTTATGCAACCATTGATAATCCTTTGGTGTTCCGAACACTTCTAATGTATTATTCAAAATGGAAAGTTTATGTAAACACATTTTTAATTCCTTAAAGATAACATTGCTCAATTAAAGACGTGCCGAATATAACATTAATATCAGTCTTAAATATAGAATTCGCTAATTTAAGATATAAAAATATTCGATATCGACAGATTATGATCAAAAAGTCTCATAAAAATTCATTGTTTATCTATGATTATGGCAAAATAATTAATAAAAAAAGACAAAAAAATTAAGATACTGCACAAATTCGAAATATATACTTCAGAAATTTTACCTTGCATCGTAATAAGTTGACCAACATCGACACAATCATGATGAATATTTCTAATTTATCCCACAAGTTAAAATATATCAGCGCCATACGATTAGTACAAATTAAGTAGTAGAAAAGAAGCGAGAAAAGACTCCATTTGATTAACAAGTACAGGTAAGTAAAATATGACTTGGATCGTTCAAAAAAATTTTCTAAATAGCTCAAACCGCAGATCGAGCAAGTTATGAATAATGGTGCTAGCGCTGTCTGAATAGTTCTTGTCATGATCTTTGACTGTAAATTTGTATTAATTTTAGCTACGAGAAACACTACGAACACTCTTCAATACCTTTCGTACCTTTCGTAAAAACCTCAAAAACACTTCTACTTTCTTTTCGTTGATCCACCGAGAAACTTTGCGGGAATTATACTATAACTAACTAACTCAAAAGTATCACACAACCGTTTATTGAACAAGAGAATATACACAAATAGATAATCTAGATCAGATACCTATTACCTTACGGAATAATTAACTATACATGCTTATGCAATTTTACAAGACATAAATGTGTATAAACAATTATTTTTGCGATATTACATTTTTTATTGGGCTTAAATGTGTTTAACATGTTAAATGAATATCTAGAGAAGTGTAGAAGTATAAAATTAACTTAAAAAATATTTCAAAACCACATTGTTTCTTGTCTTGCAAAAAGTACTTACTTATTATTCAATTATTATAATTATATTCTATAAATGTTGGATATAATTTTTTTCAGAAAAATCGTGATCGGCAAAAAATAAAATATTATAATATAATGGTTATTGCACATTTCTCTCTATTTTAATAGCACTGTGTCAATTTGAATTATATTTAACGTTGGAATGGAAGTCCTCGTGCGCGTAATCATTAAATTTAATATGTTATGTTTGAACAAAACAACAGAACACACAAAACTAAATTCCGCACAACAGACAGCTGTGCGATGTATTACAAAAGAAAAAAACAAAACTGCAGATTAACAGTAACAAAAAAAAATCATGCACGATTCGCAATTCGTAACGAATCTATCTATCTCTCTTGTACTCGCGTGTCTCTCACTCTCTCTTTATTCACGTGTGCTCGCTCCCGTATCGACGACGTGAATGAGAGCTCCGCGCTTTTTACTTTAGTTCGCTTTATTCATCGATCTAAACACAGGTATATAATTACGTGTCGGTATACCGCAAAGTGCTGCCGCATATACAATACATAACATACACTTGTTAAATTAACTTAATTACTCTTTTACTTCTAACAAATTGGCAAAACTACAAAGAATTATTTTGTATAGTGTCGCAGTGACACACTCACAATAAATATAATGCTACTTTTCTACTATTTAAGCACTTAAAATAAGTCACTGACATACATATTCATTTGTGCCGTAATTATCACGAAAGTTAACACCGACGTGCAAAACTGAAAAAAATATATTAATTTTTATTAATTATTTACAAAAGCATTATTTAATTCAAATACATTATAAGAAAATTATTAAAATATAAACTAATTAATATTGAAATAAAAACTAAAAATTCCTACATAGCGCAAAATTAAAAAATAAATAATAAAAATTTTAATAACATATAATAATAAATTTCATACAACTTATAAAGTAAAAATAAAACAAATAAATGTAAAAAAACACCTTTTGAATAAACACATGGCCGAGACAGAAAAAACCCATCCCGTTGAATTTTAACGGATGTTGCACTGCTTGTAAAGCAAATTGACAAATCTGTAAATATATATAATTATTAGTTAAACCTCAATAATACATTTTATATATTATTTGTTATTAAAAAAATTTAATACCTCTTCTGAAATGTCAGCATATCGAATAATGTTTGTTAATTGATGAACTACCATGTTAATTTTGTTAGCCTAAAATTTTAAACTTGTTATTTCTAAATATTAGGTTGTTCAAAAAGTTCGCAAAAATTTTCAATAAATAGCAGAAAAACACATTAGCGTATATAAAAGCTCTCGAAATCGAATAATTGTTGAGTCTACAAATAATCTAAAATAATGGTACATACGCTTCTAAATAAAAATCGATCTAACTGTTTACAAACTATTCTTAATTTTTTCATAAAAACTGCTATAAACTTATTAAATATCTCTAAATATATTTTTATTATTAAAAATGGTTACATTTACCTTGATACAAACATTTTCACACATCAAATTGATGGCGCAAAATCTTACAAAATATATAAGAATCCATATTATAAGTAGAAATATTGTGTATGTTGATATTTTAATTTGATATTTCCATATTAGACATAAATAATAGCACATGGCTGTTACATGTAACAAGAATGACACCATTTTGATAGTCGTTTGTACTCCAAATATCAAATTTAATTCACGAGCAATACGACATAATTCGAAATAAAGATGCCTACCAAGAAAAAAATGTTATTAAAAGATACAGAAATAGAAATCTTTTTAATCTATAACTTTTAAAGTTTATTTATGATAATTTTCACCAATATTAAAATATTAAATTATATAATTAACAGAGCATATACTCGATGTATTTAAACATATATTTGTGCCAATTTACAGTGATGTCCATAACGTTTCTTTATAATTCCATAAATATTGATGATGAAATATTACAACAGGTTTTTTCCACGTACATCTCAACTGATAATCTTTTTTCACTAAGAGACATCGCATATGTTCATTCACTTTGTCAAATCTGATGCCGATATGCCTGCGTTGTAATAAAAGTTCCAGAAATTGTAGATTGATAGAACAACTAATTATTATCTTGACAATAAGTTTAAATAATAAAAATAATAACATTATTTAAATAACATTTTGTCAACCATCAAAAATATTTTTTATAGTTTTTGTTAAAGCACAAAATGCAATTTTAGTCATGACTACACTTTGCCAATGAATAAAAAAATTATAAAACGCAAATTAGATCTGGAAATGGATTTATATATAAAAAAGTATATGTTAATTTCACACTTTTGCATTTTATTAACTTGATAACTTATAAATACTAATTATCAACTAAAAATTATATATTATAAATACTAGACGAACCATAAGAAGATAATGAAAAATAGTTCACTGAATGTAATAACATGAACAGTATGATTTAATAAGTAAGATAAAAATAATCCCCAAGATAAAGTTTCTTTCTTCTGAATCCAGTAGTTTATATCGAAAAAGTTTGTAATAAAACAGTATATAATCCATCCAATTACCACACGTTTCGATAATATATGCATCTTCTGATATATTTTTGGAGTTCCTAATTTTTCTAAAGTATCGTCTACAATAGTAAGCTTTGTCATGCATATCTTTAATCTCTAGAAAAATATTGATTGATAATACAAAGAGCATTTACGAATAGTTTATATATAATTATACTTCTAAAATATAAAATATATAAAAAATAAAACATTTACTGTTATATTAATTAAACTGTTAAATTATATTAAAAATTGCTGTAAAAAATTTCAATAATTTGCATGCGCGCGCGCATACACACACGCGCCCGCAACACGCATGCACGCATTACATCACGTCATATTTTTTAAACATATCATATATCTAATAATAAAAACTGTATTATACCTGTACTGTACCTTTTGATAAAAATGATTCATAATCA